AGTCAGTTGCTTAGTATCTGATTGTCCTTGGGTGAACTGACAAGATTGAGTTTCTGAAGCTGTGAAGTTTCCAAGCAGGTTCCAGGGACCCTGGCGAGGCCCTCCTGGATTCCTGCTGCTATTCTTTGATGTCTTTTTAGCTGTAGATTGAGTTATTGGGAACGTTCTTCCAGAAGAAAGAAGTGCGAGGCATTTCAAGACTGTACCAGACTCTGAAACCCTCCCTAGAAGTGTGAAGAAAGGAGGAAGCTGTTTAAATCCTTGGCAAATCTGCACTAAATTACTCAGATAGCTGATTCCAAGTGGCTTTTTGGGGCTTCTACAAGTAAGAGATATACAATGGATAATTAGAATTAATTACTCTAATGATAAAAAGTTTCAGGATCTAATTTTCCATTTTTCCTTCTTTAGCCAGATAGCAGAAAATAAACATGTTTTCACTGAAACATAATCTTATTTTCCAAAGCCAAGTAAGTATACAGGGGGACCCCTCGTGAAGAATGAGACCAGTAACGAAAATGATCACCTGCCCGCGTGTACCTGCACCACTTCTCAGAGGACATTGTGCCAGCTCTGCCATTTATTCCTGTCACACTTCAGGTAGCCTTCTATGAGAACCTACGTTTGCAGAAGGTAAACAGAGAACTGGGTAGGAGAAGAGGAGAATTAAGAAACAAAAACAAAAACAAAAAACCCCCTACCATTTACTCAGCATCTACAATGTGCCAGGCACTTTCCCTGTAATCACTAATCCTTACAAGAAACTCACAAGATATGTGGCATTGCTCCCATTCTACAGATAAGAACATGGAGGAATAAGGTTTAGAAAAGTGTACCGCTAATGTTTACTGTCACACAACTAGAGAAGGGACAGCCACGTCTGAATGACTCCCAATCCCTCTCCTTCTGCTTTTCTACCCTCTCCTTCTCCTCTCCCACTTCCCCTCCTCCTTTTTTTAAAAAAAAAAATCTTTATTGAGGTATAACTTACATACCATAATAGTCAGCCATGGTAAGTGTTCGATCCAGTGGTTTTTAGGGAATTCTTTGCATTGTGCACCCATCACCACGATCTAATTTAGACCATTTCCATCACCCCAACAAGCTACGTCATGTCATGTGCAGCCAACCTGCACCCCTATCCCCCCCCCCCCCC